GCCTGGTGGGGCCTACCTAGTGAGGGAGGGCTGGGTCCTAGAGCTGCTACTATGGAAGGCAGAGCTCCTTGCCCTCCAGAAGCATCTAGAAGGCAGTGCCTTCCAGTAATGTGTGTTTGCCCTAACCAAGATGTGCCTGGTACTGTGGGAACCACTGAGCCAAGAGGAAGAGCCTCACCCAGGGTGAGTGGGCGGATGGATCCATAGGCAGCTTCCTGGAGGAGCCAGATGGGAGCAGGTCCTCCAGGACAAACAGGGTTGGCCGTTGCAGGAGGAAGGAACATCGTTCCAATTTTAGTATATGTGCTGCCGAAGCGAGCACGTGGAGGAAGGAACATCGTGTCCCAAGACAAAGCTGTGGAAGGGAGAACAGCAGAGTGACTGAGTGTGGCAGTGGGGACGCGTGCTGCACAGGCTGGCCGCAGAGGTCCTCACCCACAGGACGTGGGCCTGCCATCCTCTTGGGGGGCCCGACAAAGCTGCAGGGGGTGCCAGGAGTGAAACTGGCTCTCTGGAGAGGTTGCTGTGCTCGGAGCGGACAGCGCTTCAGAGGAGCAAGGCCAAAGGCGGTTTGGAGGCTGAGCAACACAAGCAGGTGATGGCAGGCCGTGGGAGAATGTTAGCAGAGTTGGGTTTTGGAAATCATTCAGAAATGGGATCTGCCTATCTGGGCGTGTCAGTGGATGAGAGGGAGCAGTTAAGGTATCCCAGTGGATGGGATCCAGGGCCTGGAGCAGCAACAGCCGGTGAGAGAGGGAGGCTGGCCATAGCACCGCACTGCAAGTTGCCAGGGAACAAGGATGGCGGTGGGGCCTGCCCTGCCGCTGGGACGTGGGGTGTGCCAGCTCCACGGCTTTCCTTGTGACACATGCCCACATTGAAATGATCATAGCACAGGAGTAATAAACATTAATAGACACGGACAAGAAATATTTTGAGAAAGCACATGATTCGCCCCTCTCCTCCTGCATCCATAAATCTCCCCTCTGTGTGGTTTGTAGTGAGGGCCTGGGTCCTCTGGAAAGCGTGCCCAGGTGCTGTCAGACCTTCCCCAGACTGCCCACACGGGTCCCGAGCGTGCCGCTCCTCAGCACACCAGAGTCGGGTGTATTTTGGATCTGGAAGACCAAATGCATAAATAGCAGGGCTTCCCAAGAACATTTGCTGAAAAGGCTTTCCACTTGAGTTACCTAGGAGCTCAGTGTGTGGCAGCCAGGAAATCTTCATTCCGATGTCCCTCAAGACCTGACCGTGGGGCAGGCCCTGCATAGGGTGCAAAGTCTACCCATGGGAGGTGGATACAGAGACAGGACGGATGGGGCTCCTTTCCCAGCATGGACCAACGTGGAATCGTGAGGGGTCAGCTGTGCGGCTTGCACAAGTGCCCTAGCAGCACACTTGGAGGGCCGACGCCCCTCTGCCTGCAGAGGCTGGAGACTCGTCAGAGAGGAGGTGATGTGTGAGCGGAGTCCCAAAGAGAACCCATGGGCCAGAAGAAGGCTGGCGGTTCTGTGGGAGTAGGCTTGAGGGTGAATGATTACGTTGGCTGGAGCATAGCAGTCACGGAGCGAGGAGGGGGCGGGACAGGAGCATGCAGAGGTCAGATGAGGCCCGCTTGTTAGGTTGCTGGTTCGGCTTCCTTCACAGACCAGCGACAGAAGCAAGGCAGGTTTCTTTCTCTTTCCCGCGGCAGCCCAGTGAAGTCTGGGGAATGGGGGCTCTGCTTCTTGAAGTCGCTCAGGGACCCAGGCTCCTTGTCGCTTGTTGCTTTAAGGAGGTGCTCTCTTCCCACGTGACCAAAGCTGACCTCCGGCCACAGCCACATCGCCAACCGGTGGCAAAGGGGAAAAGGACAGGGAGGGAGTAGTGGCAAACCGTGGCCTTTTAAGGGTGTGACTCAGAAGTTGCACACATCCCTTACGTTCACCTCCTCTTGGACAGAGCACAGGGCCACGCCTCCCTGCACAAGAGGCAGAGAGCTGTGAGCTATTGAGCCTTGCTAAACCTGGGGCTCCTGTTCGAGAAAAAAGAAGAGAATACTGGCTATTGGGGATCAGATAGTCTCTGCGAGAGATCAACTCTCAAGAAACTGTAGTTATGCCACCTTCAGGGGTTTTGTGTTCTCAGTGCCAGGGAGCCATGAAGTGCGTTACGCTAGGGAGATCCGTGATTAAGATCAGGGCTTTAGCAAGCCCTGTTGACTGTCGTGTGGTAAGTGGACAGGGGTGTCATAAAGCCGATTCCGGCTGGCTCCAGGGCGTGGGGCCAGTGGATGGAGGCTAGAGGAGGGGACTCCAAGCACATCTTAACTTTCTCACCAGGTCGCCAAAACCCACAGTGAAACAAAACAAAGAGACCAAGGTGGTCAGTGTTGATATAAACAGTAACGGTCCAGTTGGAAAAAATGTGCAGAATCTATTCAAGCAGTCTGGTGTGTATTTTCTTCACAAGGCAAAGAATTCTGAGCACCTACTCTATGCCGGGTATGGTTCTAGAGGCAAGGGATGCGGCAGGGAACCAAATCGAGCATCTCCCACTCTCCTGGGATGACATACCGTCAACTAAAGGGACAAACAGGATAATTTCAGATGGCACGAAGTTCTGGGTAGACCAGAAAATACTAAGTCCCTGGGACAGAAAGAAATTTGGTGTGGATCAGCTAGAAAACCAGAGTGGCAGAGGGATGGCGAGCATGGGGGTGGCCCATGGGAAGGGAGACGTGTAGGTCTGGGGCTTTTTCCTAAAAGCCATAGCAGCCATTGGGCAGTTCTAAGCACTAACATGATAGGAGCTGACGTATGCTTTAAAAATCGCTCTAGCTTCACTCCAGAGACTGCAAGGTTCACAGTTGGCATCCCAACCTTGATCTGTGTGAATGCTCATGACGTGTGCGGAGAGGGGCAAGGGTAACAGGAAGCCTTTGTCCCCTCAGGGTCACAGTCCCAGGACTTGTGTGTGGCACCGGCTCAGAACATCCCAGCCCCCTGAGGACCCTGTGTCATTCTGGGGTTTGAGAACCTGCTCTCAGGCCAGCCACTCTGGTGTGGCCCCCGTGTCAGTGTCACCACAGAACTTGTCAGAAATGCAAATGTCAGGTCCCAGACCCCACACCCACTTGACCAGTTTTCACTTCAGCAAGACCTGGTGACTCATGCACAGCGAAGTTTGAGAAACTCTGGTGCCATGTGCTCTGGTCTTCCTCTCTCCTTCCCTCTAACCATATGTATACACACCCCACACACAACCGTACACACTCCCTTCACTCCTTCCCACACACACAGGGAGCACACACATATCCCATTCACGCACATAAACCACACAGGTATCTCACACACAGATACACAAACCACACACGTCACATGCACCCACATAAACCACATGGCTACACACACAAATATACAAACCACACACATCACATCTGCATATGCATAAACCACACAAACATCACATTCATGCACATATAAACACAGGCGCACACACACACACACACACACACACACACACCACCACACTGAATTGCCATACAAAATACAAGCTCACTGCCAAATAACCTAGATAGGAGGTCTGGACTAGCCCAAAATTTAGGGATCCCTGGCGAACAAGGCAGTGCTATAGGAGTTAGATTTGAGGAGTTTCAAATTTATAAACACGGAACCTGTGGAGATTCGTTTGGTGGGAACTTGACTGTGTGCAAATTGACATTTTAAGGAGATTAGCCTAACAGTGCTAGGCAGACTGTTGCAAAAAGAGGGGCCAGGAAGACCCCACGTGGCAGACAGTCTGGGGACTGGTGCAGAAATGTTAATGGATTATGCACGAGTGCTATATGCTTTGTCTTTTGCAGTATTTACGAAACTACACTTGAGATGTTCTGATTTTCTGGAATATGTATCTGTTGGCGACCAAGATGAAAAATGGAAGGAAACCTGTCCAGGCTCAGCCCTGTTCCTGGGGGCAGTAATGTGAGGAGCACAAAAAGTGGGGATGTGGAGTCTGGGTAGCTGAGTGACTGATGGTGCTTTGGAAAGAAATGCAGGATCTTGAGGTGGTAGCCAGTGTTGGAGGAAAGGTCTGAATTCGAGTTTAGATGTTCTGACTTTGTCGTCACGCTGCGGGAGACACTGAGCTTTTACAACAGACAAATATAAAAGAAAGGCCCGGGCTGAAGAAGGAGTGCCTGGAGTGCCTTTTATTTCACAGAGTGGACCTGGTCCTTCCCAAGGTGTCCTGTGACTGATTAACCACTCTACGTGGCTTCCTGCATGGGCCTTCCAGCGGTTCCTGGAGCTGGATCTGACCAGGCCAGAGGCACCGGGAAGTGCCCTCCAGGCCTCACCTCTGTATTTGGCCGCAGCAGGTTTGGACCAGGTAGTCTGCCTGTGAGCCCGGACCTGAGGGTCAGTGAGGTCCTGGCACCGAAACCAGCCGCTGGGTGCGTCTGCCGTGGCCGGCAGTGTTGCCCTGACCAGAGCGGCAGGGAGGGAGAGCATGCCTTCCTGTTGGTGAAGGACCTCTTAAACTCTCCCAGGTCTCCCCGTTTGAACGTTTGTAATCTGGATTCACAAGTGCGTGATGCACTCCATGTGATGCGTAAAGTGAATTAGGGAAAATACGTTTTTACAATAAATCGGAATCTTGGGGGTGAAGGCGTGTGAGTTACATCATCCTACATTGGATGAAAATTCATGGTCTTTTTTCTTTTCCTTCAGAGAATCGCTCCACAGGTAGGGCAGGCTAGCTTCAACAAGTGAGCCCACCTGTCTGGTGGAAGGATAGTGGGTAGTTAGGCTCACTAGGCGCCCCAACAGAAGCTCCTGGGTATGGTGTTGAGCCCCCGCAGCCTGCCAGTGATGGAAGCAGCCAGTGGCTCTCAGCCCCATGCCCGCCACCTGCTTCGTTCAGTTGGTACACAGGAGGCGAGGGCGCATTCGTCTGGCGGGTGGGGAAGCGGAGACCATCCATTTCACTACCTGCTTTACATTCCTGTACTTTTATTTCAGATCATCAAAAAAGCCCTTTCTGAGGAAAAACGTGTCTCCACAAAAACATCAGCTGTTGACCTCGTGACAGAAACAGATCACCTCGTGGAAGATTTAATTATTTCTGAGCTGCAGAAAAGGTTTCCTTCACACAGGTGGGTGTGTTCCTCTGGAAGGGACCCCGGTGCCACACTGCTGGTTGCTGGGGGCGGACGGGAAGCGGGAAGCCTCACAGTCTGCCTCCCATATTTAGATCGCGTGGTAGATATGTTCTCATTCCTCTTACTGTCATCTTGACAACGCTCACGTCTCTCTGTTACCTTACAAATACTGAAAAGGCTCCACTTCTCTAACACGCTCTCTATTCCCCTCTGCCAAACCACTTGACATGTTTCTGGAGGGACTTGGAGCAAGTCATGTTTGGTGCTTGTGTCTGCGTGGTGGCCCCATGCAGACTTTCCAAGAGGGATGCAGACCTGGGCCCACGCTTATTGGTGCCCCCCTGCTGGTTCTCAGGGACTTGATCTCCCCTGTCAGTCCAGCTTATGCGCCAGGGAAGGCTGCTCTCCATCCTAGAAGGCCCTTATGACGACTCCACCTTCTTCTCTAGAGCAGAAGTTCTTAACCCTTTTGGGGTCACCCTGTGGAGAATCCAGTGCAAACCATTAATCTTTTCCTCAGGAAAATTCAAATACGTACGCAGCATTTTACTTCTAGTTCCAAGGGAACCCTAGGCCTCAGAGGAAAATTCCCCTTGAGCTCTGGGCAAGGGGCGGGGGTGGTCCTCAGGCCCTCCGTTGCCCCTGGAGCTCTGCAGAAGAGAGTTGGAACCCACTGCCTCCGATGGGAGGGCTCCCTCTCCCCACGGAGGAGACTGGAGTAGGAGCTCTTGGATTTCTGGGTATGGGTCACTGATTGCAGTAAGGTTCCATGTTTGATGGGCTTACAGCAGACACATGGAGGGCGGCCTCCCTCAGCGTCTGTCTGGCACAGGGTGGGCGTGATGGAGTTTTCCCCTGTGAATGATTAAGTGAAAGAAGGGACAAGCCGGCATTCAAACACACCTCCTTTTTCCTCTCTGTTTTCCTCCTAACTGGTTAGGTCATCTCAGGGTCACCAACTCTCCCTTCGAAATTCTCTCTGCCAATGGGTCATGTTTGTTTTGGTTTGTTTTGTGGACAACCTTTGTGTGTGAACGTCTGTTATTTCCTACTTCCTTATTTAGTGTGAAGTCGGGATTCCTGACATCTGTTATAAAATTTACAAGCTCTAAAATGTTTGTGATTTTTTAACTTCTTGAAATGCAAGTTAAATGGTAAATGTCCAAAGAATTCTGTAGATTGCTTTAACCCTTTGAGAGGAAAAAGGCCACAGTAGCCAACATGGTGTTTCTGGTTGAGGAACTGTTTTGGTACTTGAGGTTTCTATGGTGTTGGCCCAGGTGGCTGTGGCGGAGGTTACAGCTGGCTCGGCTCTGTGGGGTCCCGGTAAAGGCCTGGAGGTCACCGCAGACCAGACATACTTAATCAGGCTTCCAGCAGGTTTTTGTTAGATTCCTCCTGAGAACCCGAATTCCGAAATTACACCCGTGTCGCATGTGTTGGCAACAGTTGCTAAGTGGTTTGGGTCCACTCTTGGGTCAGTATGGGGTGTGGATTCCATTCGTACAAGGTGTATTTAGATATTCATTGCCGCACATCCCAGGACAAAAGTCAGTGTGTTGTATGAGTGATCGAACCCACCCCCCCACCCCCGCTCTACCCTGCCGCCCGGGGTCACCGGGGGATCACCAAACTCCCAAGGCCCTTTGGAAGACCATTGACCCAGAACAGTGGACCCTGCTTAGGGTGTGAGCCAGGCCTACCTGCGCTTCTCCAAACTGCTAATGCCAGGCCTCTGTGTCTGTAAAAGCCCTGGGAGAGACAGATACACACACACCTGACCAGGAAGCCGTGATTTAGAGCAGCGGTTCCCAAACCGCCTCCAGCTCGTGCCAGCCAGGCCGGGAGGGATGAGATGGGGCTGCCCCATGGTCACCCCTGGCTCTCTGCCACTTGCTTCTCAGCTCCGAGGCCAACACCAGAACTCAGGGAAGCCTGGATGTCCTGCTTCTGCTCTGCTTGGTTTGCCTAGAAAACTCAGGTAGATGAAATCATTTCTCAACATATCTATGCCAAGTGTGGAGTGGGGTTTTTTGTTTGTTTGTTTTTTTGTTTGTTCGTTTTGCCAATGATGAGATTTAAACAAATTTGGGAGTATTTAATTGTATTTTAGATCATGGACAAATTGATAAATTTGCAACGAGAAAACATGGAATACACATAGTAAAATACCGTATTGTAATTTTTCTGCATTCAGAGTATTTAAATATATCCCTTAAACAATAAGTTATCATAAACTGGCCTATCATCCTTTTTTTAGGAAGGATTTCCTGTTATTCTGAGTGTATGCTGGTCCCCATTTTTAGTCACTTACAAAACTATTAAAGATCAAAACTGTTTTGTTTTTAATAAAGAAACAACCTGGTGTAGGCTCCCTGTTTTATTATTTTATTGTGCTCATTTGTGAAATCCAAAGTCCGGGTCCCTGAGCTGGAAGACAGGAGTCCACTGAACCAAAGAACTGTAAAATTTAAACCTGCTACTGTCTGCAGCTTTGGAAAGTCACCCGTTCTCAGGGTCTCAGCCTCCTCATCCAGGACCGAGGCACCCGGCCAAGGTCATTGTATGGTGGTAATGACAGAAAGTAAACCAGCAGGTCAAGGTTGACAGTTAAAGCACAGGACTGGCATTGACCACATTAGCTCAGTCGCCATCCAGGCCTGCCTTTATGCGGTGCCTAAACCTGTTTTTAGTTGATGATTTTGAGTCAGATCCAAGTTCTGCAACTTTGGAAATATTCAGTAGCATCATTGAACCATATTTATATACACCCTGTCTGTGTCCCTTTTGTCTGGGTTGGTGTAGGCAAAGGGAGGAGAGCAGCTGGGGCTGCAAGGGACACCCAGCCGCCTCCTCTGTCCTGGTCTGGGCTTCCCTCGGCAGGACACAGCCTCATCCATCGTGGTGACTCCCAGGCCCTGCAGCATGCCCTGTGTGCCCCAGGCTTGGAATAAACTATGTTGCTAGCCACCACTGGCTAAATGCTTGCTTTCTACCACTTTCCCACCATGTTTTGAGCTGGGTACTCATGTCATCGGGCAGCAGAGCCTGATGCGATGCTGGCCAGGCCTCGGAGCATTAATTGGCTCCCTAGTGAACTCAAGGGTGACCCTGACCTTGTCACAGAGTAAACAAACTAGCCAGGGAACAAAGGCCTAGATACACTTGGCTGTCAAAATTATAAGGGTTTGTTAGGACTATAAGAAAAAAAAAGTAGTTAAATTATGCAACAGGATATCGTTCTAACTTGTTACCAAGCTTTGAACCTGACCCCAGTTGCTGCTTTCCTCTTGTACGGTAGATGGGCTTATGAAAAGGCCCTTGAGCTCCCTAAATTTAGGCACACAGACTGTTCTTTTCTATTGATGTTACGGATTTTATGTAGGTGTCCTAGTGCTTTTATTAAGGTCTGTTATTTCACACCTCCATCTGTCCAAGTTGATGTCCCCACTCCTTCAGCAGAGAGTGGAAGAATGTTCTCTCCACTTCCCACATGAAGACAGTCATGTTTCAGTGGATAGACTCCATCCCTCCTCATATACCAGGGAGGTATTTTTGGTACCTCAGAGGAGTGGACACGGTCCAAGGCCCTGTCCCAAAGTGCCACCACAGGTGCGGAGCCAACAGTGAGTTGATGGACGCTCTTTCTCCCTGGGTTGACTCAGGCAGCTGAGTAGAGACGAGGAGAACTCTTGGGCGTGATCCACTGCTGGGAAAGTCCAGGTCTTGGTGTGGCTCCTCTGAGTGCTTCCAGAAATGCTGTGCAGAACAAAAGCCACGTGGACAGGAGCACTGTGGGTGCTCCTTTAAACATGCTGCTTGGTGGCCCTGTAGCCCCTGTCCGTCCCACCTGCTGTGCTGGTGAGCCAGCAGCCAGCCCTCCTGGCCCTGCATGTCCTGAGAAGCCCCCTCGGTGCACTGTGGTCTGTGCTCCCCAACACAAGTGTTTGCTTCCAGCCCTGCAGAGGCACTCTCCCCCTTCCTTCCCAGGAGACCCCACAACACTAGTAGGTACCAGCTTCCCACCTGAATCGGGTTTAAAAAGGAAGAAGTTTCCACATTCCTCCTCCATTCTCAGGAATTTATCTTTGGAAGCGAGTCGCTTCCAGTTCTATCTTGAAAGAAGGTAAGTCATCTCTCTGCTTTATCCACCTTGTACCCAACTTGAGCTTTGGCACTCGATCCCTATATATGTATGTTTTTAGGGTGTGGACCCTTTTTTTTGGAAACATGATCACAAGCCATTGCATGGGAGGAAAATCACGTAGCTATAGAAGACATTGACAGGAGATGTAATTCCTTAAGTCTTTGGCTAAGAAAACTTGGCAGAGCTCACGCCACGCATTATCACCAGTGACTCTGCACGCCCGTCTCCTGCCTCCATGCAGTGGTCGGGAGTCCCAGCCTGGCCGTGCCCTGCCTAGCTTGGCTCCTCCGACTTCCTGTCTTTTCACCACGCTGTATCTGCCATCTAGACCTGCCTGTCTGGATCACATGATCTGGACCCAAAACCCCGAGGAGGGGAGTGAGGACAGGGACACAGTTCCCAGCAGGAGGAGGGGACCAGGAGCAAACAAAAGCAAGGAAGTGGCGGCCCGTGCATCTCTAGATTGTAAGCTCCTGGGTGCAGGCTGCTCACCCTGGCTTTCTCTGCACCACAGCCATTTGTCAGGTCCCCATGTTCTGCCTCTGCTGCGGGGGCTTCTGCAAGGGGCAGCAGCTGGGGGGAGGTGGAAACACGTGATAACCTGAGAATGATAACCTGTGCACTCCTCACACACATGGACTGATCTCCGATCCTTTCTCAGAGGGGTAGGTAGACAACTTGGTGTGTGCCACGGAGGGCATGACTTTTGTAGTCCCTGAAATGGAAAGGGGTGGTCCCAGATGAGTTCCAGGGCTCGTGGTTCCGGGGCCAGTGCTGGGGTGACGAGCAGTGACTGTGACAGTGGCGAGGAGCAACCAGTGACAGCACAGCCCTGGTTCTTCTCTCAGTGTTGCAAATGAGGATGGCACTTGAGATGCGACTAGTGAAAGTAAAGAACTTCTTAGTTTTTTGAGATTGCATTTAATTTAAATTATTTAAACTTAAACAGCCACACGTAGCTCATTGGTACCATGCTGGGTGGCGACGTTGCCAGCTCAGTGCTTTTATCGGCAGTGTGGTGTCTGTCTCCTCTGCAAGTTCCTTGCTGCCACATCTTAGGACCCCTGGTTCCTCTGGAGAAGGTGGTTCCCGGGGCCGATTCAAGGCCAAGCAGAAGGGGACTGCTCTGGTCTCTTCAGGGGTAAGCAGCTGCCTGATGGCCATAGCTGACAACGTACCAGATGGCAAAAGGAGGACAGTGAACGCTTCTTGTTTTTCACTCATTTATCCTGCTTAGTAAACACCTGTTGTCTTCAGGTCTCCTTTTTCTCCAGTATAGACGTGGACATAGCATGAGAAGCTGCTAGAAAGCTCTCCACAAGGCCTGGTATTCACGCATAGAACACGTGTTTGCTCAGCGCCTGCCATGGACCAGGCCCTGGTGACAAGGCGGTACACAGGCCAAAGGCCCCACCCCCTCAGTGGACCTGGGTTTGTTACATGACAGTTAGAGACATGGACCAAACACTCAGTGTGCCGAGCCCTGTTGTGTGAGCTTTATTGGGATGCATTTTCCTTGTTGGGGTTCCTCACGGGAAATAGCTTCTGCTCGAGTGAGGATGATTCTGAGAGGCCTTGTGTACAAAGGACTAATGATAAAGGCGGGGCTGGGGGGGCTGGGAGCAGAAGCCACTCTCACTGGTGCCGGACAGTACACAGCCTGGGCTGGCCATGTTCCTCCAAGCTGGCTGCCAGAGCATGAAGGGGAAGGTGTGGCCCACCGAGGGTCTCCTCGACCAGATACTGGGATGGAAGGGGCCTCTGAGGAGATGATGGCAGCTCCTGCTGAGCCCGAATGGTGGGAGGCTCCAGCTGTCACATTGTCTTCAGTTCAGAGGCAGCCAGGCCGGGGACACAGCTGGGAGGTGTCAGCGGTAGGTGACACTCAGTGCCTCGGGTCCAGCTTCAGTCCCCCCCCAGCCACAGCACTACTGGGGGTGGGAGGAGAGCTAAAGCCCGAGTCCTGGGCCCTGTCCCCAGCCAGCATTGCTCCCCGGCCAGCATTGCTCACACTCTTCATCGTCTGTCTTCAGCCTTTTCTCCTCCAGACCCAAGTTAGAGCAGGGTTTAGCTTTGCGTTGTAAGGTCTGTTTCCCAGTGTTCTTCATTCTCGTGTTTGTCCCCCTGGCCCATTCACCGCCTCCTCCCCCCATGCTTTCCCAAGTCATCACTTCATGTGTTCCGAGTCCTGCTGGCCGACGGCTCCGAGAGCAGCCGGTCTTTCACAGACTGCTCTGCTGGCCCCGGGGAAGCCGTGATGAGCTTTCTGCGGTGTCTGCTTGGTCTCTGATGGGACCAGAATCAGTTCGAAGCGCCTTGTTCTGAGTGCTTGGTGAGTGTTCTCAGGCCGAGCTCCTGCCCACCACAGGTTCATTGCGGAAGAGTCTGCAGCCGCCGGGGCCAAGTGCGTGCTTACCCCCAGCCCTACCTGGATCGTCGACCCCATTGACGGCACCTGCAACTTCGTGCATAGGTGAGCATCAGCACGGGCCACCCCTCGTCTGGTCCTTAACCTGTCCTTTTCTCTCAGACTTTGTCTTTCTCCAAACAGCATTTTTTTGAGGCAGGAGTATATAGACAAACCTCTAGGAGGTTGATAGGCTCATTAAAAAGGTGGTCATGTTTTGATCTTTTTTAAAGTGAGGTGTTCCATTTGTGAGACACTCTCAGCATATAGAAAGTACTTAATTTGTTTAAATCTGTCATGTTTGTCATCTTTAAAATGCTGGGTTGAATTAAGAAGGACCCCTTAAGGATGCCCCTGGGCAAACCGGCGTGTGTGGTCCAGCGGCTGCAGGAGCACAGGTGTAGATAGCAGCGCCGGAGGGCTGGCTTTCCACAGCTGCCTGTGGAGACGAGAGCAAGCCTCCTGCAGCCATGAGGTGGGATGAGGAACCCCCTGGCAGGGGGCCAGGCCTAATCTGACAGAGCAAATAACAGCCACAAAGCAGGAGGGTTTAGGGAGGTCAGAAAGGCCATCAAGGAGAGGGGAGGCGAGCTCAGGGAGGTGATCAGGACATGGCCTCGACTCTAGAAGCTCTGACCGGTGGGATGGGCGTCGGAGTTGTCCAAGGACACAAGAGCACTGGATTGGGCCTGGTTTCCACAGGTGGTTGGTTCTCTGGCATGAACACATGAGGGGCCTCCTGGAGAGGTTCCAGGCCCCTTCCCGGTCCCTTCCACGCCAGCATTTCTCCCCAGCATGCATCGACACCAGCAGTGCAGAACCCCATTCTGAGAGCCCTCTCCCCAGATGACTAGGAGATACTCCGTTTCCTTTTGAAAAGTGAAAAAGTATCAGCACAGAGGGGGGCTTCTTGGGGCTGCCCTCTGTGCTTGGCCTCAGATGGCATATTTATGTGTCAGTATGTAAAGTCATCCTGACCTATGAGGTGGGTTTTGCTAACATGGGTTAGTTAGCTTGAGAATGTAGTCAGTCAGTCACGCCCGTACATTGCCTTTTCTGGGCAATGGAACAGTGCCATCTGGTGACCACAACAGCATCAACAGACTAATGCAAGCTAAAGCCTGACAACCCTCCCCCACCCCGCCCCGCAGGAATGGGGGTGGAGGCTCAGGTCTCCCCTCCTGTTCTTCTCTCTGCTTGTCATGCGGTGACACCCACACAGCCCCCTGAGGGCCTCTTGCAGCCCCGGTTCCAGAACACTTCAGGGGCTGCAGCACAGTGATCTTAGTGGCCTAGAGACATCAGAAGCCTTTGGCCACCGCAGCTCAGAGAGCGTCCATTCCTTCTTGTGTCCAGCAGCGTCAGGGCTGAAGCAGGTGGGGGAGAGCTTTCCCAGGTACCTAAAGTGGAGCCTGGCATGTGGTGTGTTTGCCTATCGAGCCAACCGCCAGGTGACTGTGCCGGCTGCCGCAGCCTGAGTCTGGGCTCACCTCTGTGGAGGACTGGTTTCATAGTTTTCCTGTAGGTTAATAGCACCCAGCTTCTCCTTCCTACTCCTGGTAAGCTCTGCTGATCTTCACATAAAAGAGGGATTATTTCGAAGAGGTGCCGCAGGGACAACAAAATCACAAAATAAAACCACAGGCAATCTGCGATGTCACAGCCCGCCTCTGACGGCTCTGGCCCAGGCCTGCAGTTGGCCGCTTTTGAGCTCACTCAGGAGATGGGCGGGGGGGTATTGTCACCCAGACCTAGCCTCTGGTAGGAGGCTATGATGTCACTTCCTGGGGACCCCTCCTCACCTAACCAGGAACATGGGTCTGGCCTTTTTGGAGGTCTCTACTATCCCTTTATGTCTCTCAAAACCAGAAAACTGACCATTAAAATCCCTCTCCATTGGGTACTTGGTGGTCATTGTTGAATTACAGCAGTCGTACGTGACTTTCAGAATACTGCTTTCTTTCAAGGTCAGCTATCTTACACACCGGAGTCCACTAAGCCTGTTTGTCTTGGAAGCAGTTAGTGAAGTTGTGGGAAGTAATTTTTTTAAAAAAACAAACCCACCCACACTGTAGAAAGGTCCTTCTGTGCCTCCAGTGACAATGCTGCATAGCACAGCCGCACAGAGGCTGCTGAGAGTTTGCATGAGACCACTTATGTTTCAGAGGGTGAACCGTTCTGTTTTTCTTTGCAGGTTTCCCACTGTGGCAGTAAGCATCGGATTTGCTGTAGACCAAGAGGTGTGTGGTGGAGGGGTCCTGAACCCCTTGGGCCTGGCTTAGCATCGTCCTTTTTGGACTTGATCCCTGTACTCCATTTCGCTGTCTTTGTCACGTGCCTTAGTCATGATTAGTAAACCCATGCATGTTTCTTTTTGAGATCCGAGACAATAAACAAAGGAGAACTGGTTTTGGGGTGTGTGGGTTTGGGGCTCCATGGCTGGCCCACCTCCATGGTGGCGGGCCCTTGTTTCCACCGTGGTCTTTCTGGGATGCTGCTGGAGAAGCGTGGAAGGGAAAGTTCTGAGCAAATGCCCCACATTAGTTTCCCTCTGACCCCTGGGGCGTGTGATCTAGTCCCACACAGAAGAAACTCCTTTTTTGGGAGGACATTTTTAATCCCCATCTTTCAGTCATTCTTCTCCATCTTTCCCTAGCTGTTAGCATGAGAACCCGGCTGCTTTAGGGTTCCCATCACCTTGGAGTTGAGCAGCATCATGAGATCTGCGTCAGGCATTAATCAATTTAAGCAGTAATGCTTAGGAAAGCCTTCACTTCTGTGTGGTCACAGCAGTTATATTTATTTATTTTATATATATCTTTAAAGATTTTATTTATTTGACACACAGAGAAATCCCAAGTAGGCAGAGAGGCAGGCAGAGAGAAGCGGGGGAAGCAGGCTCTCCCATGAGCAGAGAGCCCGATGCGGGACTCAATCCCAGGACCCTGAGATCATGACCTGAGCTGAAGGCAGAGGCTTAACCCACTGAGCCACCCAGGTGCCCCACAGCAGTTATATTTAAATAGGACTAGGGGTTTGGTATTTTCCAAAAGCAACCTTCTAGTAGGCACTGTTTCAGTGTTTTCACCTTTATCCTCAACGCTAGCAGTGGTTCCCTAGCACAGAGACTGAGGGAAGTTTATACCTTCTTCACCCTTCCCTCCTGCTAGCAAAGGTCTCCCGGCACCCGACCCACCCCAGGGGCACAGGGTCTAGAGGCCCACATGGTTCTAGGACTACCCTGACTTGGGAACCCCCTTAAAGTGGTGTGGGAAGCAGGGGAAGAGAATTAAGGATTGCTGGAAAGCTGGCTGTGTGATCCTCCCCAGAAATAAACCCTTTTCCTACCCTGTCGGGGAGTCCATTCCACTGTGGTCGAGCTCACCCCAGGCCAGCCGAGACTTTCCCAAGAGACTAGACCTGGGTCTCTCTTCATTTTCCAGGAAGGCAAAACATGGCCAACCCCCAGATCACACATACACTCGCCTATTAACCCTGAATAGTGACGAGTCGGAGGAGGAAGAAAGAAACAAAGCGAGTGTAAGGCAGCATTTTTCTCCCCTTGCTCGCCTCTTCTTTTTACTGTTTCCAACTGGGAGGCTGCTGTTGGAGGCATTTGTCACCTGCCTTACGCAGTGTGGCTGCGGTTTGGCACCACGCCCCTCCTTGGTGACTCACCTCTCCTCCTTGGCCTTCCTTGAGTCTGATCCCCTCGGCTTTACAGACATATTCTTAATTTTTGACACATCAGCAGCTTTGAGGGTTTCTTATGGGGAGGCGTTAGTCACAAGTAGCCTCCTCCAGTCCCCCACCCCTAAAACAGAGGTCTTTCTGAAGAATTCAGCTTTTTCAGTAACTTTCAGCTCCTAATGCTTGATTATGAGGTTAATTTTTAATAAAGCTGTATTCGTTTTAGTATTTTTTTTAAGATTTTATTTATTTATTTGACAGATAGAGATCACAAGGTGGCAGAGAGGCAGGCAGAGAGAGAGGAAGGGAAGCAGGCTCCCTGCTGAGCAGAGAGCCTGATGTGGGGCTCCATCCCAGGACCCTGGGACCATGACCTGAGCCGAAGGCAGAGGCTTTAACCCACTGAGCCACCCAGGCGCCGCTGCTTTAGTATATTTTTAAGTAGGCTGTTGTGGAAGAGACCATTTGCCCGCATATCCAGTTTTGGACCAAGATGCTAATTTCTTTCCCAATTCCCCTTTGAGAGGCAGTTTCTATCACCTGGGTCGTAATACCTCGAATTGTTCCCCTCTGAACTGCTTTGTGATTTTCTGGGTCAAATGAGTGAAGCGCGTTTGTTTTCCGTCCTGCCCCTGCACCCCGCAGCTCGAATTTGGAGTGATTTACCACTGCACAGAGGAGCGGCTGTACACGGGCCGGAGGGGCCGGGGCGCCTTCTGCAATGGCCAGCGGCTCCAGGTCTCCGGGGAGACAGGTGGGGCTTCCTGCGGCTGGGCCGGGCTCCCTGCAGAGTGGGAGGAGTGTGAATGGGAAATGCCAGCATCACCATTCTGGGAGACGGTGCTGGAAAGCTCCCGCTGAGCATTCAGTTTCTTCAGGAACATGCGTCCCTGAGCACCTGGAAGGCCAGCCAGTTCTGTGTCTTCATGTTTTCGTGGATGTGGCCAGGAGTTTACATAGTCTCACCCTGTTTTACACTCGTATCCTTCAGCTTTCTTGCTTAAAGAAACCCAGACCCCAGTATGGCTGGCTCTCCAGTAATCCAAGGTCGAGAGCAAAGTCAGAAGCATGGTCTGGCTCTCAGACCGTCCAGGTTAACATCCATCATCCCCATGTCACCGGGGTGACGTCACCCAGGCGTAGCCTGTGGCTTCCTGGGTATGGACGGGCTGCCGTGGGCTTTGGTCTCCGTGAGAAGACGAGCAGCCATGGGACTGAGTAGTGTGAATAAGTGATGTTGCCACACACCACACCTGTAGCGCTAGCCGTGTTGTTCCTGAAGCAGGACCTCAGGGACATCCAGTAGCTTCTATGATGCTACTGTAGTTACGTTAAACTGCACATAACTACGTACTGTCGACAATATGCCAGCTTAGGTTTTGCAGGGTGTTTGGGCCTTGCTTTCACACTGATGAAGTCAGGGATTTTTTTCGCCCCGTGGGACGGGGACGGGAGTGAACGAGGAGCTTCGGCCTTGAAGCAGCTAGATTAGGAGAGACTTTGAAAGCTCCCTCGTGTCCACGTTCAGGTCTGGAAAGGTAGAAAGCACAGTTCCTGCTAACTTTTCTTACACGTTTCCGCAGCAGGACGTCCTGAGGTACCCTCCCCCATCATGGCTTCAGTCTGGGGGTGTCAGCCCTCCCCCTTTCTTTATGCTTCCTTTCTCTTTTCTGCCTTGTCTTCCTCCCTGGGTGACACCCATGTGCCTAGATGGCCTCAGAGGCAGTGAGAGGAGGAAGGTGTGTCCCTACCCTCCAGCGGCTCCTCAGCGAGCGAGGACAAGAAGTTCTCCACCTTTGCGGTCTGGTGAGAGCACCGCCGATCGAGGAGCCCTGGGTGGGTGGGAGGACAGGAGCCCTGTGTGTCTGGCCCAGTGGGGAAACCAAGGAGGCTCCGCCTGGGGCCCCTGAGACTCACAAGCCTGCCCAGGGGAAGGGGAAGATCACATGAGGCTTCGCACCGAGGTGGGACCAGCAGGACACACTCACCAGTTACTGCCTCTGAGTCCCAGAGAGATTCCAGAACAGCCTCCAGCCTCGCCCCATGTCTCCGCCTCCCAGAAATGTTTTGTTTGGCTGTACGAAAAGTAGCGCTAATTGTACATACACATGCCAAGAGGTAACCGCTCAGGGCATGTTGGGTTAATCAGTAGTGAGGAAGCATGTCATTAAACACACTTATGTGAACTTTGCTCCATATTCCATTTAATGAGAACACTCGGCTCCATTCACACTCTCTGGGCTTCCTGGTCGCGCATGACAACTTCGTATCCTCAGTGCGGCTCTCAGACCCGTGTGGGCAGGGCCTCCGGGTCACCTCTACCTCCGACCCGTCTTAGGCCCTCTGGTCTTGTGCAGACCCTGTCCTAAACCCCTTCTGCGACACCACTGGGGTTCCCACTTCTCTCAAAACCGCCCACATTCTGGAGCTCATTTTCTTAAAAAAAAAACTCTGAAGAGAGTCTAATGTGCTGTTTTCAGCACTGGTCATTTAGAACTTATGGGGTGACTAGGTTTCTATGGAGACGATGGAGTGGACCCTGCAGCACAGTGGTTAGGTGTCACGCAGACCTGGTTTCAGTCCCCATTCTGCCACCCTCCAGGGCTGTGAGCTGTCCTTGTGTGGTGGGTGGGGTGACATGATGGGAATGGAGGAATAAATGTAGTTAGACAGGGGAAAGCGCTCAGTCAGGTCCCGGTGCAGGGTACCCAAAGGTGAGAGTCGTTATCAAAGAGGAAACCTCAGTCTTTGCACAAGATGATTAACGCCCGTTGTTAAGTTTAGGACGCATTTCTGGGTTAGAGAAATCCACCCTAGGGAACAGGACACCCACCCCTGATCTTTCTCTCTCCTTTCCTTACTCCTATTACACCTTCTTGGAAGGCTTCCATGCACAAAGTAAAAAGCAAACAGAACTACACAGGATGGGGTAGAGGATGAGATTGAGGCCAGAATTTGATTAGAACCTTTTTCTTCACATCCCACCATGCAGAATTTCAAACCTGTGTGAGTAGACAAAGTACCGTAAACCCACGTGACTCACCATGCGTCCAATATTGCCAATTCTCGGGGCCAACCCTGCTTCATCCACAGCATCACCCAGTTCCCACCGCCCCCAGCAAGTCCCTGACAAATCCCAGATGTAGAATCATTTTCTAGTCAGCATTGCAGTACGCATGCTTCTCTATACACAATTCTTTGAAATGCATAATCACAATACCAATGACACACCCCTCTAAAAATTATCAGTTATTCCTAAAGTCATTAAATAACCAGGGTTCAGATTTCCAGTTGTCTCATCCTGTGGGAAATAGCCCTTCAGGGCCCCACCCTGAGTTCTCAGGGCTCCTTGTGGCTTCTGGGTCAGTCTTTCATGCTAGGTCTTCTCACTGGACAGAGCTAGGAAGTTGTCTTTAAATATAAAAATCATTATGAGTTGAAGATTCAGAATAATAATACTAGCCTACTAACCACAGACCATTACCTAAAGCAACTGGAAGGATGTTGTATGTTGTTTGGTCTTGTGTCCTTCTTTCTGTCCTTAGCGGATGCCCCCCAGGTTCTGGAGTCGGACTTGGCTCTTTGTTCCCTTTGCCTGGGCCTCCAGCAGAGGATAATCACCTAGATGCGTTTGTTTCACTTTGTTTTTGAATCAGGAAGACTAGTTTTTAAAAACTGATTGTATTTTGTAATTATATAAAAAGGTACCTTGTTCCAAAGTCAGATCTCCAAAACAAAGTATATTTGAAGAGGTTTAACTTCTGTCCTTGTCCTTTACCCTAGGGAATACTAAGAAGTGGTTATGGTTCCATTGTTTATTTTAGGGGTGTGTGTGTGTGTTTAATAAGCAGCTGAGTTTGTTGTTGTTTTGTTCTTTGCTTTTATTCTCTGTGTTGGTATGCTTTGGGTATTTAGAAAGGTTTATGTTTTTGTTCCAGTGATTTCCTTTATACAGAATTTTTCTATACTATCCCTCGTCCTCTCTTTATCGGGTTATTGTCTCTTGGTTCCCGATTCTCAGTAACATTTAAGTTAGTTTGTAACCTCTTCTTCCCCCTCCTCTTATACTCCAGTATATGATTAAAGCCCAGTTAATTTTTGCTGTCAGTTACGACGAGACAATTGGCTAGCTCATTCTACTAGTCACACCCTCTCCTTGTTACCTTTCCACCTCTGGGTGGTTGTGCTGCCCCAGGTGTGGGTTGCCAGGGCAGCCAGCCATGTGGGCGATGCTCTCACTCTAGAACTGTCAGTTAGGGTGTGGTCTTGGTTCCACAAATAAATTAGACTTAATACCCCCCACCAGCCCTTTATGTGGATGTATGGCCCGTCATTTTGGTTGTGTGAAGCTCATCTCATTCGCTAGTACAGCATTTCTCAAACTTTTTGATCTTAGGACCAACATATTTATACTAGTGAAAAGTTATTGAAGACCCCAAAAGAGCTTTCGTTTATGTAAGTTATCTACGAGTGTTTATGCATTTGAAACTTAAACAGAACCCTCTAAAAAAACACAACTCATTACATGTTAACATGAATAATACACGCACACACTTTTTTTTTTTTTAATGAGAAACAACCATATTTTCCAAAATAGTTTTCATGAGTGGCCTTGTTTTACATTTTCTCCAAATCCCTTTATAATGTCTGGCTTAGTAGAAGACAACTGAATTCTCATATCTACTTCTATCTTTAATCTGTTGTAATGTATGAAGAAGATCGGGTCTCACACAGATAAGTAGTTGGAAAAGGGTCGAGTGAGGACTATTTTAATAGGCTTTTCAGATGAATGAGGTTATTCTTCTTTGATGCCACACCCGAACTCAATAAGTGGTAGCTTCTTAAAGCTTAGTTGCAGTGTGAAATCTAAAGACAAATCAGTGAATTTTTTGTACTCTGTGACTGTGAAATCCATTGGGCAGTCTCCTACTTTGAATGGATCTTTTACTCATGATGACTTTGTAACATCATGCATTGGTCATTGGGAAAATAAGGGTTCACTGAGATTTTCAGGCTCTTTTAAATATTGACCTATTACATTGTAAAATACTAAGAAAGTCATATTTGTTAGTATCACCACTCTTTTTTTTTTTTTAAGATTTTATTTATTTATTTGACAGAGAGAGACACAGCGAGAGAGGGAACACAAGCAGGGGGAGTGGGAGAGGGAGAAGCAGGTTTCCCGCCAAGCAGGGAGCTGGATGCGCAGCTCGATCCCAGGACCCTGGGACCATGACCTGAGCCAAACGCAGATGCTTCATGACTGAGCCATCCAGGCGCCCCTAGTAGCACCACTATTATGAGAAATCTGTAAGTTTGGGGAAGGTGTCAAGCTTTTGGTAGTAGGTTCAAGTCTTCCCAAATTCTAATTTGTACTTGAAGGCTTGAATTTTATCATTGGCAACCTTAGCAATTGAAGTGATGGACTCACTTCTTTCATTTTCCAGAAAATGTCTTCCAGATACCTAGTTCTGACTACCGGTAGCTTGTCTAAGCTCTCCATGTGTACGTCCCATCTCCTCACACAGAACATTGAAAAGACACGTGCTTAGGTTTCAAGACCTAGTGCCATTCCTAATGTTCACACCTTCTTCATTCTGGAATAAAACTGATATATTTTCCCACTGTGAGTGTAGCAGAAAAGTCTGCATTAACCACAGGAACAGGTGTGCTCTGCCTTGCTTTATCTACTCTGTGCAAGTGTTAATACTGGAAAAAAGGCAAATAATACCTTAGTTTAACTTCACAGATTCA